ATGTGTGTTGTTTAATTGGGAGAATATACGGTAGTAATTGTAGTTGTCTTTTGATAACAGGCATACATTGATTTTGAGATATCTGAGGGAGAATTTCAACGAACAAGAGAGCTATACGAGAGATTATTAGATCGGACGAAGCACCTGAAAGTGTGGATCAGCTATGCTAAGTTTGAGGCAACAGCTGCGGATGCCCTTAATTCAGATCTGTCAGAAGATCAATTGCAATCACATCTGTTGGAACAAAAAAGGGAATGCGTACAATATGCCAGAAGTGAGTGCTCAATTGAAATTTAACTGAGCTTTTTCCCTTTTTGTGGTTTGAGTATTGATATATTCTTATTTCCTCTTTGGAAATGCTTCAGGAGTCTTTGAAAGAGCCATTAATTACTTCAGAACGTCAGCTCCCGAACTTAAAGAAGAAAGGGCAATGCTATTGGAGGAGTGGTTAAACATGGAGAGCAGTTTTGGTGAACTTGGTGATGTTGGCATTGTCCAGACTAAACTGCCAAAGAAGCTGAAGAAGAGGAGGCCGATTTTGGCAGAGGACGGTCCAGCTGGGTATGTAACTGACTTCTGTTGTCGTTCATTTCTTCTCTTTGCTACATTTGATGCTTGTCAATGAAGATGTCCTTATATTGATTTTTCAGCATCTCTCTCTTTAATTGGTTTTCGACCGTAGTTTGTTGGGTATCAACTCACTGACTTCCTGATATAGTGCTGTCCTTTTTATTCATTTCGATTCATGCTTGTTGGTCTATCTGTGTGAGATGCCCCTATAGTGAGTACTAAATTTGGTAAATTTGGTTATGCCCATCAATGATAGGTCCAGTGAGTTGTCTGTTGGGTTCTGCTCTTTCTGGTTTCGGATTTTAATTTTCTGCTGTAATGCAGTTCTTTGTGCTGATATCTATGTTTTTTCTATTCCTGGGCCAAATCTTGGTGTCTATATTGATAGAAACTTGTTGAGCCAATGCTTCTGCAAGCTGGGGTGTAATGTGTCTGAGACAAGGCATACCTATTTTGTCAGTCTCTATTTGTAACTGTCTGCTTCGATCAGCCCTTTGGAGCTTGTCTGACATTCTTGAATTTCAGGTATGAGGAATACATAGACTACTTGTTCCCTGAGGAGACCCAGTCCACAAATTTCAAAATTTTGGAAGCTGCTTACAAATGGAAGAAGCAGAAGCTTGCTACGGATGACGATTAACCAATCAAGCCCGTGTACAATTGAAATTGGTCTACGAAAATGTGTATATGTTGCTCTCCCAGACGGGTCATTCTTTCAGGTGATGACCGTGAATTGTTGGCATTTTGCCCCCCTGAAATGGAACCACTGGGAACTGTATCCGTGTTTTGTTTTTGGTCGAACTGTATCCGTGTTTAACTGTAAGATTTTTTGATGAAAAGTTAGCTTTCCGTTCATCCTGCTGAAAAGGGATTTACTTAGTGTTGGATCCACAATTAATCTTATGGATCTTTAAGATTGTTGTATAAGCCAACAAATTTTATCGGATTCACGTCAAATGTTTCCACTAGCAATCAATAGCGGTGTAAGCCAAAATTTGTGATATATGCCACCTCATGTTCTCAAGATCCTAAAAGTGACCGTCTCTGAGGAATGTATTCATTGTATTTATTTTAATATATATGGAAATCTGTTTGGAAAGTTTTGGTGGCGGAATGGCAATCTCCTTTACCAATTTCTTCGAAACAGAAGGCAGGTTTCGAGATTAAGATTGAGATGCTTTCCAAAACTCTCCACTCCAATTAAAATAAGTGGTGCTTAAAAGATTTTCAACTGAGATAAGCGTAAGAAACATGAAAAACCATAAAGATCATAGAAAATGAACCAAGATGCAAATGAGAAAACCAACTTTAACATGCTGAGGTGAGAAACCCAGCTAAACCCAGTGTGGCGTGGGTAAACATATGACCATGGAATGGAGCCACAATGGGGTCGATTTGTTGACTTTTACTACTAGCTATTTTTTTTCTAGTGTTGCACCTATAATTGAAATTTTATTTAACGTTTATCGAAAATTTTCAAAATATAGGAATACCCCCGTCCACAAATGCACAATATTTTCAAAAAGGCTATGGTATGATAACCATCAATTTCTTCCCGTCTTCATCAGAAACAGATGAACAGAACTCCACCGAATCCTTATGTTCGTGTAATTCCATGTCGACCTAGTTCATAGCGAATCTGCTAAATGAGCATGAAGAGAACTGGTCATCGTCCAGAACTATTTGGGATAATAGCTTCGTTAAATGTGACCCGTCGGCCAGGTCTCACGTTGACCGATTCCTGTACAATGGACCCCTTAATTAATGTCATAGTACCCAATAAGCTAATCCCAAAAACGCCCCTCCAGGGGCTATTCATCTGAGCTTTCTGTAATTTGACGTAAAACGTTAATACAAGCCACTCGTATCGCTTGAAGCCAAGCCAAGCAAAAAATGATATTTGACAAAACGAAGTGGAAAATAGTCGTATCACTCGAGGGCCAGGTCAGAGTCAAAAGGTGAAAAGGTCCACTCAGATTTACAATCCCCCTGTAGATAGATACCAGATATGATTATGAACGTCAACATTCTTCAAGTCTATATGAGTCATAGTTTGAAATTTCTCATATAGAAAATTATGCATTAGCGCTATTTACCCAGTGTTCCAGAAAATGAAACATGTCACGGTTGACGTAGTCAACCCACCAACCTTTGTGTTTTTTTGGTCGCTTACCCACCGACTTGATAGGTAAAAGAAAGCAACCCTGCAAACTTCAGGCCGATAGTTGCTAAAATCGTGTAAAATTTAATTCAGCAGTTCAGTAATTGACATATTCTCGAGAAGTATATAATGCACTGCATCATTAAAAATTTTTAAAAATATATATCGATATACATGTTATGATATATACACTATGTCATGTTCTGATATCATTGGGGAAAATTGTCTAAAAATTTCTAAACCTATTGCACTTTTGCTAATTCAATTTTAAGTTTTGTAATTTTGCCAATTGAGTCTTAAACAAATATCATTTTTGCTAATCGGACTCAATTGGAAAGAAATGAAAAGGTTTAGGATTCGATTGATAAGAAATGAAAATATTTATGACTTAATTGGCAAAATTGAAAGGTTGGCGAATGTGCAATATGTTTATGACTATTTGGATAATATCCCCGATATCATTGGTAACAATTTGATCCGTTTTATGTCGGTTGAACTCCAAAAATAGTACTCGAGTGACCTTGCTCCTGATGTCGTGTCGCGATCTCGAGAAGAAAATCCAAGCCAATTTATCGTCGTAGAATTAGAAGGATGCTTCTTCTCGAATTAATGTCAAAGCACCATCTTTGATGAAAAGTTATGCATTTGAAAACTTCAAGACGATGGCGGTGAGAGGAGATAAAAGAAATGGTCTTCTTGAGAATTGGCGAGGGATGAACACATGAACACCAAATTCATTAATTTTAGTTCCTACTCCCTTCTATTTTCACCTACCTTGACAGTGTCTTTCGCGATCCTTCAATCTTGGCCTGTACATGCCGAAGGATCGTTTCTTGGGTGTGGAATCTCGAACATTACCATTCTTCACGCTTGTGCCCAAAATATCTACGAAATTTTCATCTTGCTACAACAATGGCAAGCTAAGGGCTGCATTGCTTCCATTTAGAGAGAAGTCAAAGATAATCTTTTTGCCTTTTTCCGTCAGTAATTACAGCATTTTCCAAATTTGAAAAAAATTGTAGGTAATTTTGGATGTGAACATTTACATAGGGTGAAAGTTTCAAATGTCATGTCTTCAAAAGAAAACTCAATATACGTGTTGCTGCGAAAATTGAATTAAGGGCGTGTTTGTTTCGAGGAAAACTTTATTATAAAAGAAAATACTTTTTCATGAATATTATTTATGGGAATTATTTTTCCCTTTCAATTTAGGGAATTCATTTTCCTTGTCTTAAGTATGGGTATCTTCTTTGACCATAAATGGTTTTCCATTGATTAATCAATTTCAACAAATCAAATGCGTGCAAGTCCAAACCATGAATTCGCGAACAATTCTTTCACTCAAACAAACATCCTAAATAAAAAATAAAAAAAATGAAAAATAAAATTAAAGTCAATCTAGACACATTGAAATTCTGACATAAACTGTTGTCAATAATGAATTTTTTTTTCAAGACCAATTATTTCAAAAGATACAAGCAATTTATTTTTTTTCAAGGAAAATATTTTTTAAATTATTTATTTTTCGTGAAACAAATAGAACCAAAATTGATAGGTTTGAGAGATAGATGTGATTTCATGTTGAACCTAACATGCCAAAAGAGGAGGTCCGCTAAGCAGGCTAACCATATGCTTAACCAGGTTCTGCACAGCTATAGTTCGGCACATCCAAACAATGCGAGACTCGGTTCCTAACTAGAGGCCTCTTCTCTTTACGAGTAATAGCTAGGCTTAAGCTCAAGAGAATCAACGAAAGAAACTCATGGTCCAGAGGTATTGACAATGTTTTCGTGTTACTAAGTCGGTCAATTTATGCTCTCGTGATTATCGGTGTATCTGTTTGGATAGTTACTACTTGGCAGTGCAAATTTGCTAGTGCTAAGTAATTACATATGGTAAAAACTTAATTTTTTCTATTGAAAAACTTATTGCGACGGGATAATTAGCAAAAGAGTGATGTCGCGTTAGAGAAAAAAGTGACCTGGTTAATCGCCGGTTGATATTTGAATACGTGATTCATATTCAAGCGATCGAATATCTAGTACGGTTACTTTTATAAATCATTTGATAATCCAATCTTTATAACTCTTTTTTGCAGCATCCTTAATGAAAAAAGAGTTGATGTTAAAGCAATGGTCCTCTCTCATGATGAAGTTCTCAATTGCAGCATCCAGCTTGAGAACGATTGCTTGCCAAAGCCACTCCACCCATTTCCTCGTTGACTGTCATTTTCTCGGGAAAGAAGGCTGTTTGCACAGTACGCGCTTTCCCTCCCAAACGTTCCATCATTTTCTCAGCAGATAGATTTGTTTCTCCTCCTCCTTGAACAACCCCAATATCCTCGTAAACCAGATTTTGCCCACTGCCCAAAGTAAAACTCGTTTCTTCACCTTCTACTTTGTTGACCCAAAAGACCCACGTTCAAATTCGCATAAGCTTTCCCTCAGGTAGAGAATTTTCCAGCTAGTTTTCTCTGCATGGGGTCTCGTCTGCTCTCAGCAGGGGACCAGTGGCTCATGCGTTGTTCACAGCAGAAGAAGTAAAGCAACGATCTTTTGCGTGGCGTTGCTACGTGACCCTTCACCTTACTGATGGTGGAATGATGTCCGACGGGTCCAGTTCGGCAGTTCGGTTAGTTCGTTGCCCGAGGTGTGGAAATCTGTCGCCTGAGCCCTCCGACAATTCTGTGTACCGGTGCGGTGCTTGCGGTGCTTTTCTTAGAGGTAGTTTGTCTCTTCTTCCTCCTCCTTTTTGGGCCATCTCTGTTTTGGTCAGTTCATTATAGGGAAATGAAAGTAGTCAATGTCAGAGACTTTTAGGAAGAAGAGGGATTCGTATGTTTGTGCCGTGTCATGATTTGGATTTTCAATGACAGAGAGAACAGAGTAAAGTAGCAGTGACTAAATTGGCAACACCCCTCTTTTGATTGAAATAGTAAGAGAGATCTTTTTAGTTATATACAATAGCATAGCAGTAGGGGGCTTTTCCTAGTTGAGGTTAATTTGAATGGATTTTCCTTTCCGATGCAGCGAAGAGGAAGAATGCGCTGGCTGCTAATTCAATATTCTCTTCTGCGGATACGATTACTGTTGGCGCTTCTGATACGAAGAGGGATGGGGATACGCTGAAGGCTGTGGAGGGCGGAAATGAAACAGTAGTTTCCGGAGCAAGTGATCTCGATGTAAACAGTAATTCTTCATCAGGGACACAAAAGGAGGATGATTTCAGCGTTGGAGAAAGGAATGGGGATGAAGGAATGGAACTGAAGGTGGATTGGTCAGAGGCTGTTGTGGAGGCTGGTCACGGTATCGAAAGTGGACAACCCTTGACGATCGATTTGAACAGGCCAAAATCTATAGACTCAAGCATGGAAGGAGGCCTCAGAGAGAATCCAGCTAATTTGACCCGATATTCTAGTCGGCCAAGTTCGAGGGTTGATGCTGACCAGTGGTACATGACTGGAGAATGTTTTGAAGGGATTCCTGGGAACTCCAGTGATGTAGTTGGGACGAGTAGGATTCCCTCACATGAATATGTTAGTGATGGATCGTCGAATCATCAACCTCGTTCCTACTTTGAGCATGGCAAGTCAGTGAAGAGTAATGTCCACATAAATGGGCTTGATAGAGGGGATAGCTTGGACGTAGATGCCGAGCTCCTGAGAAAGTTGGATGATTTGAAACATCACATCAGCAGAATTAGTAATGCACCCGAGAGAACTGGCGAGACGGCTTTTCTTAATAGGGAGGGTCTACCCGAGCCTTTTGGTGATAGATTCAGGTATGTCTCTGGTGGACTCTTGACCCCAGGAAAGCCTGTTCTGGTGCCCCCTCATTTGATTCATCATCGTGAACAGCATCCTAGCATCGATCGAGATACACATGACTTCTATCTTCCTCCTATTCCTAGGAGTGTGACAACATCCAGGCCTCACCATCAATATGTAAAACAATCTTATCGAGGTCACTTGAATAAGTACATGGATTTGACTCGAGATTTCTCTGCATCGGATTCACAAGATTCCTCCCTTGACCGCAACTTGTGCACCTGTTTTCATTGCCGTCACGAACATGAGCAAGCTCCTCAATCGGTCCAACCAACTCCTTTTGGCCCTAAAGGGAGTGTCGGCTACCCTGTGAATTTCACCTCCTATCACCATCGCGATCCCATCCAAATTTGGCCTCGTGGTCATTTGGGTGTTCATATTCCCCCTCTGAGTTCTCACAATCCACGGGCCCAAAGAAGATGGCCAACTGAGAGTATTGTTTCAGACACTGATACCGCCGGTTCTCAGCAGAAGATAATTGCGATTTCAGATAGAAGTAAGAAGCATTACCATCCAATATCAGGTGGTGCTCCATTCATAACATGTTGCAAATGCTCCGAGTTGCTGATACTGCCTTCCAATATAAGCGTGGAGAGGCGTAAAAAACCGAACCTGCAATGTTGGTCCTGCTCAACTGTACTCTTGGTTGAAGTTCTGGGCAGAAGGCTTGTCACTTCCGTCACAAGACAATCATCTTACCTTGACAATAATGGTTCTCACGAGGCAGTGAAAGAGAAAATAGCTAGTCTGCAACGCGGCTTGGGCGTGAAAGGAATAGACTCCTCCGGTGATGGTAGTGCCATAGACATTTGCTCTCCTGGTCATGGCAATTCCAGTTTCCCCAAGAAATATGAAGCAAATGAAGAGTCAGATGACCGGCAAGTGAATATGCAGAACTACGAGCACGGTAGCAGTCTAGCTCCGTCTTCCCATTCTTCTGAGGAAGAAGATGTTCCCAATGAGGTAAAGCTCGGGACAGATTTATCCACTTCTGCTGAGAACCCATTACTACGGGAAGAGTCTCCCACAGTTCCAAGCTTAACATTCAACAAGAATCTCGATAATTCCAGTTCTAAGATATCTGAGGATCAATATGCAGAAGCAAGTGAGATTAAAGAAATACATCGGGATTTTCTAGTCCAGAAAGGTGTCCCGAGACAAAAACCTGTGCAGGATACAGCCACAGAAGATGAGATCGAGTACTCGCTTAATGACTACCTTAATACATCTCAAGATTCTTCAGATGCAAGTAAAGAAGCAGATCGATCAAAGACGAAGAAAAGGGACAAATTTTTCTTTGTGAGCCTCATTAAGAAGAGCATTAGAGATTTCTCAAGATCTAATGAGATTGTGGAAATTGAAAAGCCTAATGTCGTCATTAATGGGCACCCTATACCCAACCATCTTGTCAAAAAGGCTGAAAAACTTGCTGGGCCTATACGACCAGGGAATTACTGGTAAGTCCCATGTCGATCTTCATAACATCACATTTTATCTGGCAAGTAAAGTAGTGAGTGCATGTTACGTGAATCTCTCTAGGTCTTCAGATTGGATGAACTAGTGTTCATTGGTTTTCCAATCTGTAATTTTTCACGACGAAAATTTAATCTATGATATCATGGAGGACAACCCATTATTCGGTGCAGTTGGTGCTCTTTTGCTTGAATGTGATTACGTGACACTTGGTAAGAGGTCGAGTTTTCTTTCCCTTTTGCCAGGTATGATGTCCAAGGTGGATTTTGGGGTGTGATGGGCAGAACTTGCTCTGGGATAATTCCGGTAAGACCTAGTCTTCCTCGGCTCAGCAATACTTTTCGAACTTTGATGCACTAGCCGAAACAAGGATAAAGACGCACTATACTTAGTCATTGGCCATCTACTATGTTCTCTCATCTAACTCAAACTATATTTCCTCAGCCGTTCATCGAGGAGTTCAATTATCCCATGCCGGCGAATTGCGCTGCTGGAAACACGGGAGTCTTTGTGAACGGGAGAGAGCTACATCAGAAAGATCTGGAACTACTTGCCAGCAGAGGACTGCCGACGGCACCAAATAGGTTCTACAAAGTCGAGATTTCAGGAAGAGTTTGGGATGAGAAGTCCGGCAAAAAGCTATGTAGGCTTGGAAAGCTCGCGCCAACGTAAGTCTTGCAAATGCATATCGGTTGATGGGCATCTTCTAATAATCAAATCATATTCTATAGAAAGTGGAAAGAATTCACTTATAGCACTTGTTAGATTTGGAACTGTCTTGGACTCTTGGCAAGTGTTGGTCACCAATTCAATAACCTTAACTAGAACGGGCCAGAGAAAAAACCTTTGGCCTGGAGTCTGATGTCGCCAAGAACACTGCAGTACATCTGATTTACATCTACATTACTTATCAAAAAACATAAAGAAACAAGATATACATATACATGTCATTTCTTGTCCTTCTTCGGCAACTGATGCTGTTTTTCTTCTTCCCTGCTCCTTTTGATTCTCTCAAGATTATCATCTGCTGAAGTGATCGGAGTAATTTAAGGAAATAGGTTCAACTTCATTCTCAACTAAAAGGGTGTGCTAGATACCATTAACTAGGGAACTACCAAGAATCGACAAGAATCACGGTGCCTAACATTCGTTTACTGTAAAATAACCAGGCTTGCCGACCGTCTTCTACGATGTAGCGACTAACACTTTGTAAGGTCCTTCCATGGTCCCTCGAGTCGGGTGTGAATTTGATCGCGATCCCGCGTGATATCATATCTTGAAAGTTTCTTATTTGATTGGTCTATGGCTTTTCCCGAATCGTTTTGTTTTCTCTCACCAAAGCCTTATCTACTTTGGACCTCTTGGCAGAGTGCAGAGAGCAAAGCGTGGATTTGGCATGCGCGAGTCCAGGCAATGAAGAGATCCTATGGACAGTAAATACACTTTGGTGCTTCAATGTATATAAGATAGTATGCCTTTCTTCCCCTCATTCTCAGGTCGAAGCCAATCATTGTTGTGATTATTATCATGATTGGATCTTACATGAAACTGAACTAGATTTGCAAGTTTTTCCCAATCAAAATTCAATGCTTGCGACTCTACTATGTCCATCTCCTACTCATGATATTCCCAAGTGAGCTGCCTTTTCATGTTGGTATTGTCGATGGATTTCGAAATTTCGAGTATCTCCGAATCGAGAAGCTGTCTTTTTATATACAATTTTCTAAATATCTAGATAGATTTGTACTTTCATGTTATTTTTTAGCATTGACACTTAAATTTTGGCTAAACATTTATGAATTAATTGCATAGAAAATTAGGGATTAATCTTTGATCCCTAAACAAAAATAAATTGCATAGCATATAGTCTAGAATCGTGTAGTTTAATTGCATCTTGCATTGGACTGGCGGTGACGAATAAACTCAAATCAGCCATGCGGACCTAACTCGCAATACTCAGCCAAACAAGGGGGAGAGGGGCCGAAAATTGTAAGGCATGACGGGCCTTGGTTATCTTAGATTGAGCTTAAATCAGTCCATTAAACTTCAATTAAAGAAAAACCCAAGATAGTTCAATCCATTGCGAAATTAAATAGAAAAGCCTAAATTTAAAGCCCATCTCTTACAAAGCCCGATCAATTAACCTAGGTTTACATTATAAATACACAGTTGTGCCTCTCAATTAGGAGGAGGCGATCACAATTTTCAAAATACACGAGTGATACACGTGAGACTAAGAGTGAGAGTGATAGAGGGAGAGACCAGCCGAGCCCCCTCACGGCCGACCCACTCTTTCTCGATCGCAGCCACCGTCGCTGCTCCTTCCCCTCAAGGCCAAACCGGTGGCAGTGAGACGCTACTGCTACCTTCGCTTACGACAAGCCGTCCTCGCCTGCTATTGCACCCATCACTGCACCGCCCGACGTGAGCCATTGCCACTACCGTCGCACCTCTCGTCGGACTCACGGGAAAATTACCAAAAAAGTCATAAACCTTTTACAATTGTGCCAATTCAGTCTTAAACCTTTTTTTTTTGGCCAATTCAGTCCTAAACCTTTTGCAATTGTGCCAATTCAGTCCATCCGGCCACTTTTGGCCGGCCGGCGCTGACGTGGCCACCGGCCGACGTCCACGTGGCAATATTTTAATATTTTTTTCGAATTTTTTTCCTTTTTTCTTTTTTTTTTTTCGTTTCCTTCTCCCCCCTGGCCTGTCCGGCCAGGGGGGAGGCTCGCCGACGAGGGCCCAGCTCGCCATGGCTGGGCGAGCTCCGCCTCGCCGGAGCTGGGCGAGCTCGCCTTGGCTGGGCGAGCTTCGCCCTCGCCTAGATCTGGCGAGGCGGAGCTCACCTTGCCATGGCGAGCTCCGCCTCGCCAGATCTGGGCGAGGGCGGAGCTCGCCCAGCTAAGGCGAGCTCCGCCTCGCCGGAGCTGGGAGAGCTCGCCATGGCTGGGCGAGCTCCGCCTCGCCAGAGCTGGGCGAGGGCCCAGCTTGCCATGGCTGGGCGAGCTCCGCCTCGCCATCGCTAGGCGAGCCTCGCCCGGCTCCGGCGAGGCGGAGCTCGCCTTGGCCGGGCGAGGCGGATCTCGCCCGGCCAAGGCGAGCTCCGCCTCGCCGGAGCTTGGCGAGCTTGCCATGGCCGGGTGAGCTCCGCCTCGCCCGGATCTGGCGAGGCTCGCCTAGATCGGCGAGGCTCGCCTAGAGCCGCAGGCGGAGCTCGCCCGGCGGCGAGGCCCAGCTCGCCTCGCCGGAGCTAGGCCCTCGCCGCCGAGCCTCCCTGCTGGCCTGTCCGGCCAGGTGGGAGAAGGAAAAGAAAAAAAAAAGGAAAAAAAATTCGAAAATAATAAAAAAATAGTAAAATATTGCCACGTGGACGCCGGCCGGCGGCCACATCAGCGCCGGCCGGCCAAAAGTGGCCGGATGGACTGAATTGACACAATTGCAAAAGGTTTAGGACTGAATTGGCAAAAAAAAAAGGTTTAGGACTGAATTGGCACAATTGCAAAAGGTTTAGGACTTTTTTGGTAATTTTCCCCGGACTCGCTGCTACCTGGTGTGCTGTCTCACGCCGGGATGAAGCGTTGCCTCCTCGCCGAGCTCCTGTTTCTACTGCTGAAAGAACGATCACGACGCCGTTGCTACAACAAGCCCCCAATGCCGCCGAGCTCGCATCGACGATGCTGCTGATCCTGCCACCGCTGCTAGCGCCTCGACGAGCCCAACGTTGCTTCTCGTTGCCAGTGATGAATAAAAACAAGAGACAGTTCATTTCTCTATCCTAAACACTACAGATTATCCGTTATTTCGCTACTTTAAGCCTAAACACTTGGAGAAGTTCTTCCAAGTTACCCTTATCAAGAATCACCCCACATCGGGGCAAACTGGAAGTAAGTCGGCATCGTGAGGTAAACAAATGGATAGGAATTTTCTTGTTCTCACTTGTGTCAATCTTCAAGTATTGCTATTACAGATAAACTCATACGAAATTCAAGTGCTTTAGGATGGCGAAGAGCATTCCTTTCTCTATCCTATATACTTATATCCCTTGCATGGCCCACTTGAGCTTGTAATTTCATTTCATGTGAATCCAGTTGGTGATCATCCCCCACACTGGGGCAAGGCAAAAGTCGTCACCACTCAAGCAGCATATCCAAAGCGCCAACAAGAGACAAAGACCCCTCATAGTCCAAATGTCCAGTCATTCGATATGAAAAGAAAATAAAAAAAATGGAAAAATGAAATAGGGGGTATGAAAAAGTAGTGTGCATGGTAAAAGCAAGGCTGATGCCTATAGAAAAAAAAAAGAATATATGTGTCCAAGTTACCTTCAGTGAAGCAGTGTTCGAAGAAACAAGATTGATGGTGCATCTACAAAGACAATCCATGATGGTGGCGATGCCGATATGATCACCAACTTTCGCCCCAATCTATGAGCCTAACGATCCCTTCGTTTCTCAACCTGTGAACCTAGCCTGCGTTACGTCCCTTATAAAGTCTCTTCAGATTATGGCACTTGAATTAATGTAAAGTCTAATATGTTTATAAGCATGGCTCGAAGAAGTACGAGCAAGACTATTTCTATCCCATTTTGCATGATTCTTGACTTGTAAACCCGGAAACAACTGCGGAGTATCGTTCTTTCATTAGCCTCGACTCGAAGAGTCCTATTTGCTAAGCCGTTGACCAAGCCCATGTTATAGTCCTAACAAAGACCTCTCAGATTGGTAAGGTTATACTGCTTGCGAGAGTACTCGGATCCTTATTGATAAGAAGATAGTGAGATAGAGTGATTCTCATAAAATTACCTTTTCAATGAGAGTAAGTAGAAAGTCCTTTCAGACTAAAGGTCTTTCATTTGACATGTTCAAAATATCCACGTTAGGAGTTTTGGTTGTTTTGTCATGATTCTCCCCGGTGGAAATTTGGTAATGCGGATGTGACAAGATCGTCATGCATGAAAACCATTTGAGCTAATGAATTTATGGTGCATGAGTATATGTATTCTTGAGTGCCTATGAATGCATATTAGATGTTGCCTATAACCATGTCTAACAGGAGACGTGTCATCAAGAGTCAGAGATATCACCAGGTGAGTATATCTCTACTATTATCTTGGGTACTTGTGATTGTCTAAGTATTCCGTTGTCTTTGAATGCCCGTGATTGTCCATGTATTAATCGTGGCTCGAATAGTTGTGACTGTCCAAGTATTCCTTTCTTGTTTTGAGTACCTGCGATTGTCTAGATATTTTCAAACTGTACGAGTTTTTGCGAGGTTGTATCAATGAGTTTTATGTGATCATTCCTTTGAGTGCTTGTGACTGTCCAGGTATCTCCACACAGTCGTTAGACGCCTCTAACGATATCCAGGTATTTATCGATTAAGCTTTTTTAGGTACATCTGGTGATATCCAGGTGCTTTGTCAAGGAATCTCCGAGCATTCGGGTTAATTCCCTTTGTTTACCCAGTCGTTAAATACCTCTGATGATATCCAGGTATTTATCGATCAATTATTTTAGAATACCTCAGATGATAATTAGGTATTTCGTTAAGCATTTTTCAAACATTTTGGAAAGTTCCTTCGTTGAACACCTCTGACGATATCCAGGTGTTTAGTGGATAATTTTCTCAAGTACCTTTGACGATATCTAGGTATTTCGATAAAATTTGGGATGATTTCCATTTTGCTAACCTATTGTTGGATGCCTCAGACGATATCCAGGCATTCATCGCATAATCCGTTTCGAGTATCTCAAACGATATGCAGATATTCGAAACAACCTCCCATTTCTTTGATCTTTAGATGCCTCAGACGATATCCACGTGTCCATTGATCATTCTTTTTTCGATTACCTCAGATGATATCTAGGTAATTTGAACTTCCTTCGTGTGTCTTGACTGAGTTTCAAGTCACCGGAGTCTCTCAGCAATTTATTAGGCAATATCTAGTGGATGAAGCCCTAATAATTGTCAATAGATTCATAATTAGAGTCATGCCTTGAACTACTTTCCGCTCCAATAAGGTAAGTAACTTCAGGTAAATGTTTTTTTATTTATTTTGCGTTACCATGCATCATGATATATGGCAAAATGGGACTGATAATGTGACATCCCCGATTTCGGGCCTAGGAAGCCGAGGGCTAGTAAAACATGGATGAACGGGTAAGTCGAGTCGAGGGTCGGTAATGGAATGGACAGCATGATCGGAACGAGTGTACTGAGGGTTGGTCGTGGTTCGATCGAAAGATTGTCCATGAATTGGCCTAGAGATCGATAGTGGAATGACCCCCTGACTACGTAAATGATTAGAGTAATATGACTGTGGAGTGACCCTTCGACCATAAGGGCCGTTAGTGGAACGGTCCGGGATAACTGTGGATCAGTTCGGTGTCGGCATGTGTCGGTCGCGAGTGATACCGTACGGCCATGCATCGGTCACGGATGACCATGAGTTAATTCTAGGGTACTGGATTCCACGAGACTACATGACAATCGAGGGTTGACCATGGGTCGTGGATACTCGAATGTGGCTCGGTCACGAATCGGCCACGGATCGTTGCGTTAAGTCGGGTAGGCCATGGATGAGACATGTGCTAGGCCATGTACCTAGTGGCTTGGTCGCGGCCCGGGCTAAATTGCCAGTCGCGCCGGCCAAGGCCATGTGCCCGGTCATGACCGGCCATCGTGCCCATCAGCCAGGC